ACTTGTTGCAGAACTTTCTCTTCTTCACTGTCTTTGAAGTACAGCCTATACAATTCATTTCACTAAGCTTATAAAGGGCAAAGTAAATCAAATTCGAGAACCATCTAGCGATATTTTGAGCCAGGCTGGTATTTATCGGTAGGGGATCATTGCATGGCGCAATCTGCTGTGCTGCTACTTCTTCCAAGTTACAATCCCAGTCCTGAAATTTTCTGTCTTTCGATTAGTGATCCTACCGAGAGTCTAGTCATAAACACACAATAGGGAAAGCGCAAATACCACCCGCGATTGCGCTTCGCCGAGTTTTGTTTTGGGTTACTATGTAAGGCAATCTGAAGGAACATAGTCCACAGCCGAAGAGAAATGAGGAATTTTGAAAATTCGAACATTTACGGCTCTACGTCTGGTTTTAGATGTTTGAAGATGTAGCTACTAGAGTGCACAACTCTTCAGGATCATCTACACTACAGTTAACTACTGGCATTTCCAAGAGCTTTGACTATCTGTTGCTAAAACTTTTCCGATGGAACGTCTGGTAGAAACTGACGCATTGTGGACCTCCCCGTGTATACAATCTATGAAAGTGGGGCCTTTTCTGAGAATTTAACAAACACTTTGACCTCTCTCGCACGAGTTTATTGCTCTAGGCTTTCAGGGCAAAAAATTCAAATGAAGATTTGCTCACCGCTCCATGTTACTATGACCACGCCCATGATTATTGTCACGCCCTTTAATTATACCAATGGATGCCGATTTTGTAGGGGGACCCACGAATTATCAGGACTTGAGATCTGGAGCGAAGTGTGGATAAGAAGAAGAAAAGATACAGGCTCACTCCCCTAGCACGTTGTTTCCGTTGCCAAGCTGACCGCGGCGACATGAAGTACTCTTCTAAGGCCTCAACGAAAAGGTTTACGATAGGCTGGATGTGGAGGAAGGGTAGGGGGCCCATACTTCCACACGAATTGTAAAAGTATGGGTCTCCAAGCAATTGAAGAGATGTGTCGCGCTGAAGGGGGCGTGCATTGCCACGTAACTAACCCTAACCCTGGCGAGCGCCGCTTGCCGTGAGGGGGTCCACCTTAAAGTTGAGGACTCGGGCTAGAAAGGCAACCCGTTTGCGTCAAGCTCAGAGCATCTTTATTCGAAACGTGGCTGTTCATTTCACGCGCCCAGTCATACACAGTTGGTGACTTGCCATTTAGTGCGACCAAAGATAGGATATTCCCACGAGCATAGTAACGCTTAGCGGATACGATAGGTCCCCAAACGACTTGTTTTAGTCGCTGGCTCGTGCCTACGCCATGCTCCGAAGCGGGCACAAGGTCATAAGAGTTTTTCCACTTCCTTGTGCAGGCGAGCATAATCCATTTTTCATTGCGATTGTCTGACCTAATTTCCACCACTTTCGATTGCCGTAGCCATAATGTCGCATAGTCTTCGGTCGCCATATTTGTCACACAGCGTTTATGTCGGTCATTTTACTAAGTAAATTTTCGGTTATTTTATGCATCATACGACTTAAGGTATACTTCCGGGCCTTCATCTATGATTCATAGCCTTTTCTTCTTATTTCACTGCCGTTGCCCTATATACTTCTTTGGTTTGTATTATTATATCTAGTGTGGATTCGAGTTTTGACACGCTCTCTCCTCGATTTGCTCAGCCGCCAATCGGGGACTTATTGTAGCGGCTTATAGATCAGCTCCCCCACGCAACGATTTTTTCGTAACATCAGCTCAATGGCCAAAATGTAGATGTACACTTGAGTTTGTTCTTATCGTTAGAAGTTGTTGAATAAATATTTAAACTTCCGTTTCACAGTGTGCATTCTGGCTCAGACCCAAGTTGATCTAATTCAGGGTATCCTTCCCTAAGGAATGAATAATGACGTACCACTTTGTACATGTTTTGAGCTGGACCAAGAATAACCGCGTTTGCTTTAACCGTCCAGTCCAACAAAGCTCTGTCCAAGTGCTATATTTCGACGAACATCGTTGTGAAAATCGAGGAAAAGTCTGCCTTGCTTGATCACTCATGGTTCGACTTTTGCAGCAAAAGCCTAAAAAATATATTATGCATCTCACCAGAAGATGATTCAGCTGTTTCTAGGACTGCTAGTAGCTTCATGAGGATCGCGAATGACTAAGTAGCTCATAGAAGTGCTGCCGCTGTTTAGCGATAGTTCGAGGAACTCTGCGATCTTTTAGTCACGTACCTGCTTCGGCATGGGAGAACAGGGCCTAAAAACAAAACATTCAGCAAGTGAATTGCTTGCTTGAAGGCATTGTATTAGTTGGCTGGGAGGCGGAGAGGTTTCATTGAACTTCGTTGGTGGAAGAGCGTGAAGAAGCTGTCCCACCACACCACACCCTCAGCACGCCGAGAGGTCTGGTTCGCAGTTGGCGTTCATTTACGTCATCAAAACCGCTCCACCTTCCAGTCATTTGCTTCTGCAAGACGCTGATAATTTACCTCTGATCAAATTCAGACTTACCAGCAGAACTGCAACTGTGACAACTGCCAACATAGTACTTTCTGACTATGGATGACGGTCGAAATCCGCTCAAGCTTTTATACTAACTAACTGTAGCTGAATGCACGGACGATCTAATTGGTTTCACATATCCTGAGTGTACTATTATTCATATTATGCAGCCGATCAATAATCCAATACTGTCACTGTCCTCAAAAACGAACCACTTCCAAAATCTAGCACAGGACACGATTTGGTGAGAGTGTTTGTGGTTGAAGAACAGTGAAGAAAGGTTAAGGGTGAATCAACAGATTTAAACCTTGAACTTTCGCTCTGAAGGAAGTGATCACGCTGAATCCTATAGTGCGATAAGGAAAGTTACGTGCTAGATTGCCTGATCCTGCACAATGAGACGATAGGTGACGCTTCGCTTCAGAGGCAGTGGCGGCTTATCAGCCCCCTAAGGCGCCTAGACCCACTTCTGGGTAGCAATTACACCTATGTATCGGCATGGAAGGGATCGCAGTAACAGCGTACGAGATATCCGTTATCGTTATCGTCCAAAATTCACTCTGAAATGCACTTTATTACAAGCAAGTGATCTTTTTATTTTATCATATTTGTTTTTTTATTTATATTTGCACTCATTGGTGCGCTAAGACAACAACAGAGTGGGTCAGTTGTGATGGAAGTGTCGAGAACAAAAACAAAAAACGAAACAAAAACAAGATATCAACATATATCGTCCCTTCTGTGGGATTACATCATGACTATATATCCTTCAATCTTATTGTGACAGCGTGTGGGTAGCAGCTCCACCCCGCTTTAAGAATGGCACAATAGCTTGCGCAAAATGACCTAGGGGGAGAACTAAATAGTTGTCTATTTATGCACGATTTCAAGGCATAGGTCGCGGGTTAATTCCTTTAGAGAAAAGCTCCCCTTGCGAATTATTAGGTCGGTCCATAATTTTTGAGAACCTTTGGTGTTTTTCGATTAATTACTTATCTTATTTCTCTGATGTATTTATTCAGCATAGTATACATCACCATTATTACCAACATATAACCAATGCGAGGGTGGGTATTCAGTGTGTCCTCTTGTAGAATTTCATAGAGTTCTGATCGAAGAAATATTGGATGTCGATTTTGACTTTATGGTGATTCAAGTGAGATTTCTTCTCCAGAAGGTGATTGAGAGAGGAGAGCGGATAGTCGTCCCCCCCCCCCCCTCCCCCCCTGTTGGTATTTGTCCGTTCGTTGACGCAGGATTAGTGCTACAAGGCGGAGCTAAAAGAACTGACCGCCGAGAGTCTCCAATTTTTTAGGAATTTTCTTAGCAAGGCGGGCTCGAACGACCTCAGAGAAAAATAGATTTTGTCTTCCTTTGCTTTCAAGTTGAAGGCGTTGCCATCAAGCTGTCAACGATTCTTCCCATCACTGACACTGGTATTAGTTGATGCCGGTCTTCAGCGCAAAGGCCCTCCCGTATTGCGCCAACGACTCAGGAAGTTCGAATTCAGAGGGAGTTGGGTTTGTACTGTCAGAACTCCCGAATCGTTTGAGCAAATCTACTGCGGCTCGTGGATTTGTTAGCACATTGCACCCAGTCCACATCACCAATGAGTATTATAGATGGTCATCCGAAGGAACTATAGGAAACCAACAGGAACTTGATGATGTCAGATTGGGTTGAGAACTGATTCGGGACTACAATTTTCCTTCGATCAGAACTCTATGAAAGTCCACAAGAGAGGCACTGAATACCCACCCTCGCATTGGCGATATGTTGTTAATAATAATGATGTATACTATGCTGGATAAGTAGATCAGAGAAATAAGATAAGTAATAAATCGAAAAACACCAAAGGTTCTCAAAAATTGTGGACCGACCTAATATTAGGAGCCATATTTCACAGGAGAGTAGTGTCAAGGACTCTTGGAGTGTGCGACAAGGGAGCTAATGCCTTCGCTCACTTCTGCGACCGCTGCCATTCCTATCCATTGCAGTGACGTCTGCGCCTCTAACGCAATACGTGGTCTCTCATGTTTTCCTCCTCCTAGCAAGCCTATGCTTCTCTACCATACCACGGTTGACCTTACGACAATTTGAGTGCTTTCTATGGTGCCTTTTGCTTTTTCCTCAACTACCCTTTCTCTTCGCACTTAGTTTTCGAACAAAATAACAACCAAATTCGACCGCGGCCAGTACTTTTGAGTGATCTGTCCCAGTCTGTCTATTGGCGACACGTGAAGCCGGTCTTTATTGCATCATTTTGTATTGATTATTTATTCTAATAATGATTTTTCAGTATAAATCGAACGAATGACCTCATTTGCCTTTTAACCTGCCACATACTTTTCCTCAATCATCTTTCGATAATACATCCCAAATTCACTCTCTTACTACGATTCCATATTACAGTGACGGCGAGTACAGTAATAAAGTCGTTCATGAAGTGGTTCCTGAAATGGTTCAAATGCTCCTGTACTTTGATCGCACGAGTTGAGATCAACGTGACTAACTGTAGAAGGCAACATGGAGTCCGAACAGTTCATCATGTGCAATCCAATATTGAAGTGTAATATTATGGTTCCGTAATAACTAATGAAAAACTGTCCGTTCGAAATTGGATTTTCTGTACCAACTGCTGATTAAAGCGAGTGTCCGCACTTTTTGATTGGCACGTTTTTCGAAGCCGGGGTCTTTTTCAGGTCACATTATGAGATACTTTAGGTGTTCGAAGGACTAATCAACGCACTCATCAAGGTGAACCCCTAGATCCCTTTTCCTTTATCAGAGTGAAGTAGCAAGGGCAATTCGAGATGGTAGCCTAGGCGGTGGTGCCAAGAAAGTTTGACTCCCTTGGCAATGTATCCATTTTAATACTTTTGAAGACGTGATCCACTATAAAGTTGATCTTTATAAAAGAGAAAGATGCAAAGTAAAGAAGGTAGAGGAAGATTCAGAAGAGGGATCTGTGAGCGCTTTTGTGGTCGGAAGGCACCTTTTCCGCAAAGTCATAGTTTGCAGAACGATATCCAACTAATCTATTTCTACCGTATCCCGGCGTATTGCATGATTTCCTATCACTTAACTCTTATGTGAAGCCAGCTTATCTTGAAATCTTTAAATCTTTCAGCTTCTACTTCCGCGCGTGGATGGTTCTTCTGGCAGTACGAGTGCGCAGCGAGGACATATGAAGTGATTACTAAGAATCTGAATCTGGATTACAAAAGCGATCTGTTGCAATGGCTACCGAAGCGCCAGCAGCTGTTAACGTATCCAAATTTGAGATCAGCGGAGGAGAAGATGTTGCTGTTTCTCAAATTTTTTGGCCATTTTTCTTGTTTTTTTTAATACACCATTTGACTCCTCCGCATTCGCTTTTCAATACTATCAACTTATCCCGAGTTTTGTCTTTAAAGACAAGCCCCGTGATGAAACCGGTGAGGTGAAACTCCAGTTCGGGGGGGGGGCACTCCATTGCTATCTTATCCGTAGTACTAGAGAGCAGTTCTTTGGGCTATCGAACACTACGGATAAGATAATAAGTGAACGACTCATTTCGAGCGTACTTTTGATAAGGACCGGTGGATGTCCTACATTCCACACTACCTGCCCACATCCCATCCACTTTTCTGCACAGGTGATCCACCCTGGAGCTCCTGCACCCTTAGCCCTTTGCGGAGGTGTCCTTTCTCCTGGTCCAGGACCGTTCCCTTGGGTCATGGCAGGCGGAAATGTGAAACGTTTCAGGGTTTCTCACCCATTACACCAATATTTATCAGAAGTCTACTTTAAATGAGTCGATTACGTGTCGTGAGCCCTCTAATCCTTATCTTGAGTATTGGAGAAAAAATGGAGTGGCCCCCCCCCCCCGAACTGGAGTTTCACCACCAACCGGTGCAAGAGGCTTCGTCGGCGGAAATGACTGAGCTGCGGAGACGGCCTGAAAGTGGAAAGGAAAGCAAGAAAATCTTTGGATCGCTGAAATTAAGGCCTTAACCTTCAAAAAGGTCGGATGTGGAACGATGGCGAGGCAGGCGGTCAAAGAAGACAAAACACGCGAGAGATTCACGCCGTTCGAGAGAGAACACGCCGATAACGAGTTGGGCTGAAGCGTTGCAGCGGGGGTCCGATCGGTGCCAGGTCTTAAGGATTAGCGCCGCTAATCGGCGTAACTTTTTGCGGCGATTCGAAGTGCATCTAAGCTTGTGAGTAGGTAGGGAGCATTAGCATGTTTCCTCGCGCGGCAGTCCCTTACCACAAGCTCGGATACATCTCGGGGTTTGCCTTTGGAGTGCGGCTTAAGCTTCTTGACGCGACATCTCATCAACCCTGGTTGTTCTTGCCTGATGCTGGTGAGCTTCTGATTTCGTGACTGTGGCTGTTATCATGTAGCACCAAAATAGTTTATTTTTTGGCTTTTTGCAGGAATCCTGTTTGCGAACAAAGGAGCTGATGTAGGCAAAACTTCGGCAACGCCGGATCCGTACCAGATCCTTGCTTCCGGCGCAACTTGCGCCTACAGTTACAACACATAGTAAACTTGTGTAACTGGTAGCACAATTGCCTACGAAGCAAGAGATCCGGGTACGAATCCCGGCTGGGGCGAAAGTTTTGCCCACAACTCAGCATTCTTGTGATAACTTTCGCAACGCGAACTGCGGCGTAAAACAGCAGTTATCCAATAAAAACAAGCTAAAATGGTAACACCCGTTTGCGATATTTTTTTGCACATTCGCTGTATATCTCACTTACATGGAAAGGGTCCCAGGTCGCCGAGGTCATTCAAAAAGTGATGTATACGACTAGTTCGAAGGCTGATCTCAAATCTACCTTCCAAATCTGCTAAACGATTCTCTGAATGGAGTTATGAAGCAAAACAGCGCAACGGTAGTGGTTGGAACTCACAGTCAAACGTCGTAGGATCGGCCCCTTATCATATCACTGTTTTGCATTCTTCAGGTATTCAGCTGAATAGAGTACCAAAAGCCGTTCAGCTGTAGTGCTGAAGAATGGCAAACAGTAAACACGATGAGGAACCGATC